GGAGGAGGGTAGAGAGAATGGTGCAGCGGTGAATGAATGGAAACCCAAAATCTCTGTAAATGTTTATGAAAATTAATAAAATATAATTATAGAAAAAATTTAGAGAGAAAGATAATCAGAGAACACTTTATTTAATCTTTGACCAACTTTGGCTTGATAAAGAATTGTTTTTAATCTGTACATTGACAGCTCTAAGGAGTGTGAAACATCAATAAAGATAAACCATCAATTTTGGTAGGAAAGTAGATAACTTTTCATTTCTCTATCAATTTAATTTTTTTATTTCTTTTTATGAACTTTTAGAGTTAATTCAACAACAAAAAAAGCCCGTTCCATTTCAAATATATAATTCTAGAAGTGTACTTTGTCATTTACTATACCATCATTTTTCATTAACTATGAGGGAGATATGTGTCAGAGACAGTGAGACTGGCTCAGGCTAGGACTGAATTCAGAGTTATTGTGCATAGGGTCACTGTGAGTTGCAACTCAATGGCACAGTACAACAACAGTCATTTATGTATCTCAAGAGTTCATAGCCCTTTAATCGAATAAAGTATATTGAATTAGATAATTGCTTTAAAAGTTATTTTATTATTATATATGAAAGATTTTTATAACTGTTTTATAATTTCACTTAATTTATGATTGTTTTTAAACTATATAAATAACAGGAATTCTGTCATTAATAACAAAGTTCTTTCTTTGATTAATAGCTACCTGAGTATTTGCATGTTAATTATCATTATGATTTTAAATTGCAAAGAAACTGTTTTCTACAAGAACTATACTTAATGTGTATTATAACGTAGAAAGGATTTTTGTCCTTTGACCTTTAAAGATTTTTTCCCCAGTGATTCTTTTAAAATGACCTCATATTGATTTTTTACATAACTGTAGGCTTATTATCATTTCATGGTTTATTATAAACAAATAATGGTTTTGTAAGCCACCACAAAATTTCTCTCTTAAAATAAGATATTTTCATGTTTAAAATTATTTTATATGCTGTGGTTTATTATAGAAATAATAGAGTCTAAATATATGATTGATTTTTTTTAGCTTTCATGAAGTAAAGATTTATTTCTTTTCTTAAACTAGCTTCAGTATCAGGTAATTAGAGTATGTTCTAGGAAGTGTTGAAATATAAAAGATGATCAGAAAAGAAAACAAAGAGAAAGTATCTAGATTCATTTCCTTACATTCTTTTCTAAAATTATTACATAAATACTCAGTGTATCTTCCTCATGGCTCTTTCATCAGGATTTGTGGGATTTTCTGAAAGCTCTACTTTTTTCATTCTAAAAGATCAATTATTAAAGCTATGCTCTTGTTTCTATTTGAGTATAAGAGCAACAAAGATGGGCCCATAGGTTCAACATGAGCTAGACAGTACTTGAATTGTTCTTAGCTTATCTTGGGGTATTTTTGTGGGCTTTTTGTCAATTTATTTGCTTCTTAAATTCTAGCCAGTCACCCATTTTGAGTTAATTGGTCAGAGAACTGTAAGTAGGTATATTGTGATGAGATAGAACAAAATTAATGTTCCACAAGGGAGCATTCATAATAATCCAAAGAATTAGAGAAAAGTAGATAGTAAAATCTGACCAACTCTGTTGTTATTGTTGTTAAGTGCCATCGAGTCATAGATGACTCATAGCGACCCTATAAACAAAAGACCTAAACACTTGTATAACTTTCATCATTTCTCCAAGTTCATAGAGTTTCCAGAGGCAAGCTATTTTGCAAGGGGATGCCACTCCTAAGCTTGACTTAAAATAAAATTTAAAATAACGAAAGACTTCCATTTTCTCTCTTCCACAGGCTTAGGTTTTAGCATTGCAGGAGGTGTGGGAAACCAACATATTCCTGGAGACAACAGCATTTATGTAACTAAAATTATAGATGGAGGAGCTGCACAGAAAGATGGACGATTGCAAGTCGGAGACAGACTACTAATGGTGAGTGTGACCAAAGAAGGACCATGTATGTAATTGTCAGGTCCTTGTGTTCCACTGTGTTCCAGAAACAGACAAGGACGACAGATTAGGAGGCAAGAGGACTTAAAAGCACAAGCACAAGTATTTCTGATTTTGTGATACTGTTTTTAAAAAATATATATGTGACACATAATTTACATACCATTTTTGCCAGTGTAATCCATTTATTATTAGGATGATGACTATTTTGAGAAAAATATCATCAAGGTTGGAGGAGGACTCATCATCAACCTGTAGATGGCACAACTTTGCAGAAAATGAAGAAGACTTGGAGCATTTACTGAAGTTGCTCAAAAACTATATATAGCTTTCATATGAATTCTACATCAATGTAAAGAAAATAAAAATTCTCATAAATAGACTAATAAAAAACATCAGAATAAATTCAGAAAAACATAAAGTAGTTAAGGATTTAATTTCAAGTGAATCACCAGTAAGCATCCACAAAGCAGGAGTCCAGAAATCAAACAAGATGTTACACTGGGAAATCTTCTACCAAACAAAGACTTCTCTCTAAAGAGTCAAAACATAAGAATGTCAGTTTAAAAACTGAAGTATGCCTTATCCAAGCAGTAGTATTTTCAGAGACTTCAATACTTGTGACTATTGGACAATGAATAAGGAAGACTGAAGAAGACTTGATGCCTTTGATTTGTGGTGGTAGTGGTGTTTTGAAGATACTGTGAACTAACAAAAGAACAAACAAATCTGTCTTGGATGAAGTGTACACGAAATGCTCTTTAGGACCATGGCCAGTGAGACTCCATCTCATAAACTTTAGTCACATTATCAAGAGGGACCAGTATCTGGAAATTAAGATCATGCTTAGAAGAGTAGAGGATGAGTAAAATGTTTAACCAGATTTACTGGCACCATGATTGCAATAGTCTGTTTAAGCACAGCAGAGACAGTGAGATGTGAGAAGGTTGGGCAGAGTCTCACTGCATTAAACACAGAATCACTAGAAGTTGGAGCCAACTTGAAAGTATCTGAAGCCTGTCACTGAGAGTTAGACTTTGCAGAAGGAAGGGAACAGTACTATGTAGTTTATTAATACCTATATTCAGATGTCTAGCCATGTCTTTAACCATTGCACATATAATACAGTTTCCAGAAGTGTATCATCTGAGCTCTGCCTTATGTGTAAGTGGATTTGTAATCCCTTTCTTTTTTCCACCCAATGGGATTTCAGCTGCTTTTATGCAGTGATTGCATTCTTGCTTCTGACTGTCATGGGCAGTGACTGATTCTGAGATCTGACCACCTCCTTGTAATTGTGGACATATATGATAAACTAAAGCTATATCATAGATGCAATAAAAAGGAGTAAAGTATCTGAGATTAAACTAATAAAATAACTTAATCTGTTTACTGTTACATATCGAACCTACAGGTAAAGAAACAAATCTTGAAAATTAATATGCAATAGCTCTCAAGCTATGAAAGTATTTCTAGTCTAATGTTTGCCTTGTAAGACAGGACTTCTAACAACTGTCTTCAAGGAGGCATTATCTCCATCTTTTTTTGTGAGGAATGTTTGGGGAGGATCAACATATAGTTTCAAGAAAAAAGAATTTCTATGCTAAAGTAGAATCTGGACAAGAAAAAGAACCCTGTCTTAGGCTGGATTCTCTAGAGTAGCAAAACTAACAAAGTATGTGTATGTGTGTGCATATATAGATATATATGTGTATGAGTATATGCATATGAATATTTGTGTGTATATATGTGTATACTGACATATCTGTGTACATATGTATATTCATATGTAGACATATGTATGTGTATATTTGTGTGTGTATGTATATATTTATGTTCAGAGATTGATTTATTTGGAGGAAATGGTACATATGCTTGTAGAGGTTGAACAGTCCCAGGTCTTTGGGCAGATCTGTACGTAGGTAGGTTCAACCTCAAGAAAGGTTTGGGAAGTTAATGATTCCAAGATGTCAGAAGGCAGCTGGCTTGGGGTGCTGCCAGATTCAGAGACTGACAAGTCCAAGCGTCTTGGGAGAGAAGGGTCAAAGTCAGCAAATATGGCAGGTTACTGGTTCAAATCTGGAGGCAGGGGTCAGACATAGCTAAATAGAAGTTGCACAAAAAGCTCCTTTATCTTCCTGTCAGAAAGTCAAAACATATATGCGAAGATATGTCACATGCCTGAGATGATGTCTTCTTAATTAGGTAACTGAGCATATCTTGCAGATTGACTCCTAATCCTGCTTGATTAACATCATACTCACTCCCATTAAAGGAGTTCCAAATAGCAGTGACCCTCGAGCATGTTTCCTAGGCAATACAGCTTAATGGGAGGAGACTGCCCATCTTGCTCCTCCTGAGCTGCTGGTGGATTTGAACATTTGAAACACATAGCCTTTTGATCATGCTGTGCGTTGTACCACCAGAGCTCCTTAACATCTCGGAGGATACAAATCATTGTATCCAACTCCTGAGCTTTAGAAAGTTTGTGTTTAGCCTCTGTGGTCTAATTTCATAGTTGTTGCTTATCTTTTATAGTGAATTATGTGGATACAACCTTTTCATAATCTTGATAGCTAACATTTATTTGGCATTTAGTGCATGCTCCATATGCATTTTAAAACCGTGAATGGCTTATTTTCACAACAGCTCATTTTATATAAGTTAAAGGAAGCTGAGAAGATACTGAAATTTAGTAACTTGCCAAAGGCCACACAAAAAATGTGCAGCACTCAGTTTCAAATTGAAGCAATCAGACTTTGATCACTGTTTGTAAACATCTACTAATATTGCCCACCCATATTATTTGCATTTGTTTCCTTGAATTAGCCAGTTAATTGTTCCCTTCATTTAATCCTTAAGCCATTCATTTTATTTCATCTAATGCATATCATATTGAGCACCTGCCATATTCCAAGCAATAGTCAGTAGTTAGGGATGAATGCTGGCAGAAGAAAACATCCTATCAAACATGGCACTGATGCCTTTAGTCAAAGGTATAAATAAGAATATGACTTCTTTGCCAGCTGAAGTCACTGCCATTTTCATTCTTGAAACATTCTAAATTTTTTTTTTATTTTCTTGGTTTGCCTTTGATGCAGGAGTTTGCTCATATGAAATAATTCTGAATTAGAAAATGTTTTGTTGGGATATAACACCTGAACCAAGTGGTATTAGAGAAAAATACTTGACTACCAAACAAACAGACATGTGGAGAAAATTCAGCCAAAGTGCTGTGTGTAGACAAATATGATGAAGCTCCCTCCCACATACTTTGGGCACATTGCTGGATGTAGGTCTTGAAGAAGGACATTATGCTTGGGAAGATGGAAGCACAGCAGAGGAGAGGAAGACCCTCAACTAGACAGATTGATACAGTGACTTCAGCAATGGGCTCAAGTGTGTCCAAGAATAGAACAGGGTTCAGATCTGTTGTTCATAATGTTACTTTGAGTTATACTCAATTCAAAGACACCTAACAACAACTTGAAATACCTACTCAGGAATGAAATAATTGGTGATCACCATCTTCTCATGTTGTTGTTATAGGCCAAGGACTTGGAATCAACCCATAGCTGACCCTCTGGTAGCTTTTCATAGGCAGTAAATCCTGTGAGAGGAGATAATACTTAGTTATGTCATGCTGTTACAACAGAGATACCACAGATGAATGGCTTTATTTTTTATAATTTTTTTTTT